GGGTTAACGGCTAAAATTAACAGAAGGACTAACGGAGTGCATTTCGTATAGTTGAGGGATCAAAAAAGTGCAAAAAATTCTCAAGGGACCAAAAATGTGCAAACCACTAAAGTTAAGGGACCAAAATGAGCATTTAACCTTTATTATATAATAAATTAAAATTAATTTATAAATAAATATATTTAAATATCATACTAACCATTTAAAAAATTTATAAATTAATAAAATTACAGATAAATTAATTTCCTTGACAATTCGAATGTTGTCGACCACCTACCCACAATTTCAGCATCTCTCCATATTTCACCACTTGTTATCACCATAGTCAGAGATACAGAGGCCATTAAGTGCCAAGCCAACACGATTCTACCTGCTTTGCTCAATTGCAGAAAGAGCATATTGCCACCACCCCCCCTCCAAATATCCCCTATTTCTTTCTTAATTTACTCCATAAAACAATGCCCAAATCCACCCTTCCCCCGGCCAACTACAAAACAAATTCCTTTCCCTTTATCCCTCCACAAATACCAAACTCACGCTTTCCTCACTTCTCTCTCTAAAAACACCCCCACTCAGGATATTGATATTTTACTGTTTCCATCTGTTTTCTTGATTTAAAGTTGCAGTCTTGTAGTACCCATCATCGAATCTCACTGTTTCTTTCGCCTCTTGTGCTCGTTCTTGCCTTGTATGTTGATGGTTGTTCCACTGCTGTCTAGATAGACCTGTACTCTAAAAAAGGAACTGACTTTATTGTATTCATACGAGTAAAGTCAATGATTTTTTTTGCATCTTTTGGTGGCTATGTATATGAGAAGCTTTTCTTGCTAATGGGTGTTCGCTGAACTTCCTCAATCATGGATCTGGAAGGTGGATTTCATCAAAACCGTGCCAAGGTGAAGATTTTGTGTTAATTAGAGTAATCCCATTTCACTTTTCGGTCAAGTTCTTGATATCTTTGGCAAAGAATCATGTTTTGTTCACCCATATGAATTGAAACATCTATTTTGATTCTAAAGAGGAAACCTATTTGGGAGTATTGATTTTTGTTTTGTTTGTTGTTCTTGTTGCAGAAGGAATCATGGAGAACTGTACTGACTTTGGCATATCAAAGCCTTGGTGTTGTCTATGGAGATTTGAGCATTTCTCCTCTATATGTATACAAGAACACGTTCAATAACGGTATTCAACATTCAGAGCCAAATGAAGAAATCTATGGGGTTATGTCTTTTGTATTTTGGACTATCACTTTGGTGCCTCTGCTAAAATATGTGTTTGTAGTCCTCAAAGCTGATGATAATGGTGAAGGTGGAACTTTTGCCTTGTACTCATTGCTGTGTCGACACGCCCGAGTCAACTCACTCCCTAACTGCCAATTGGCAGATGAGGACCTGACCGAGTACAAGAAGGATCGTCTCAAATTGTCACCGAAATCGAGTTTCGGGTCAAGGCTGAAATCCACCTTAGAGAAGCACAGAGTGTTGCAGAGGTTTCTGCTTGTTCTAGCTTTGATTGGGACTTGTATGGTGATTGGTGATGGTATCCTTACCCCAGCAATTTCTGGTAATCATGATTTCCATTTCCTAGTTTTGGGGGTCAATATGGATCTATAATAATTATTATATTTTGTAAATAACTTGATTGACTATTGATTTTCTTGAATTTTTCCCGCAGTTTTCTCTGCGGTATCTGGGCTCGAGTTTTCGGTGTCAAAAGAGCATCACAAATGTGAGATCCTCATTCCCAGTCTCAATTTTCCTGCGGTCTGTTGTCTAGTGTGAGCTTTTGCGGTAAAAATTTTAGTCTTAGGCAAACTTCTTGTTTTTTACTTGAACAATTATTATAGATGAATTTCTTTTTTAATTGGAATCCCAGGTTTTTCAGCACAGGATCAAGATACAGTTCCCATTTACTTAGTCTAAAATTTCTAATTTGCTAACAAAATTTCCATCTCGTTGGTTTTTCACACCCTAATATAAAGCTATATCATGACACAAACTTAACCATCTCATTCTTTTTTAAATCATGAAAGGATCAGCAATATTTTATTTCAGTATTTCCATTGGTCATCATAGGTTTCCCCAAAAACTAAGTACTGTATCGTGGATGCCTTGGTGTTTACTTGTCACTCGACGTATCTTTAATCTTGTCAATTTACATGTGAAACTAGGGGTGCCAACAGATAATATCATCAGCTCAAATTAGTAGATTAGGTTTATGTCACTGATTTTTCTACTTTTTTAGTTATTAGTTCCTACCACTATCAGTATTTCTTTGTTGAATACTGCCTGTTAAATTTTCAATAACTTTTGCAGATGTGGAAGTTCCAGTTGCTTGCATCATACTGATCGGCCTGTTTGCCCTTCAACATTATGGCACACACAGGGTTGGGTTTTTGTTTGCACCTGTGGTTCTCACATGGCTCCTATGCATCAGTTCTATTGGCTTATATAATATTGTTCATTGGAACCCGCATGTGTATAGAGCACTCTCTCCACTTTACATGTACAAATTTTTTAAGAAAACTCAGAAAGAAGGTTGGATGTCCTTGTGTGCGATTCTATTATGTATAACAGGTCAGTCTGAGTATGAGTTGCTTCAATTCTATGTTTAAGCTGCTTAAAAGTAAGAGGCTTGTTTATTATCATTTTAAACATTCTGTATTTTGATCTTCTTCAGGCTCAGAAGCTATGTTTGCTGATCTTGGACACTTTTCACAATTGTCAATAAAGGTATAACGTCTTGAAGGCTTAAACTACAATAGTATGATTGAGAATTTGATCACTGTTTTTAAGTTGTCATGCTTTAATTTATATTGATGAGGAGACCTGTCACAGTTGTGTTTATGGTGTGAATCTGATTTCTGTCACTGATACTAGTCCTACTATATTTTAATTGAGACAGCTGATCTTTATTTGAATAAACAGACTATATAGTGATGCCTACAGAGTTAATACTTTCTTCACACCTCCAGTTCTTTCCTTCTCGTACCTAGAAATATAGGACGGTAGTGATTAATATTACCACAAATTATGTCTAGTGGTTCGTTTCATGCTTGGCTGACATAGTGCAGGGCACTGTTTTGAAATGTCCATAGCTCTTCTTTTCTGCTCTCAGTGACAGCATGATTATTTATGCTGTCAATATATTACTCCTTAAAAGATTTTAGTTGTTAATATTTTATGGGGCTTTACCATTCTAGGGGAAAACATTTAACTCTTTTATGTCAATAGGTTATTGGAAAAGCACATGCGTGTATCTCAAAACTTATCTCTCAAGTATGATAAATTTCTTATTAGCTAAATAGCAGTGGCACAAGTTTAAAGAATCATTTTTTCTAGTGAAATGTATATTATGCAAGACTCATATTCTGGCCGTAGCTTTTGTATAATGGAAATTCCAATCTCTGCAGATTGCCTTCACCTCTTTGGTCTATCCATCCCTGATTCTTGCATATATGGGGCAAGCTGCATATCTATCTAGGCATAATAATATGGTGAATGATTACCGAATTGGATTTTATGTATCTGTACCAGGTAGGTACCTTGATTATTGTCCACCAAGACAATAAGATTTGGGTGATGATTCAATTTGACTAATTGGAAGTATCTAAACATTACTGCTTCAGATAATTTAAGATGGCCAGTTATGGTTATAGCCATTCTTGCAGCAGTAGTGGGAAGTCAGGCTATCATAACCGGAACTTTCTCAATCATCAAACAATGCTCTGCCCTGAATTGCTTCCCTAGAGTCAAAATAATCCATACATCATCCAAAATTCATGGTCAGATCTATATCCCAGAAATTAACTGGATTTTGATGATGTTGTGCTTGGCTGTTACGGTTGGTTTTAGAGACACAAGACGCATGGGCAACGCATCAGGTGTGTTGTTATTCTCATTGAACTTCTAATCCTTTATAATGGCATCTGTGTGCCGGATTTTTTAATATTAAACTTTAATAGTTGTTTGCTTCAATTGGTTCAATTGATCATGTAATTTCAGAACAAACTGCATATTTGCATCTAACCCCATCCTGGTTCATAACCTGATAGATGGCATCGTTGAGTTCAGGAGCTATCTGCCAATGAGCTATATCCACTTTAAGATCCCCCCGCTAATAGAATCTTAAGGAAGTAGTTTTAACTCTGACAAACAATAGGTGATTTGTTGGGGTAAAGAGAGATTTGATCACAAAGAAAAGGTCTCTGAGATGAATGCAAATATTACTTGATTAAGATAGCTAGCTTTATTTTCTGGTAGAACTTATATTTCCTCTTGGTGTAACTGTGTTTCAACTTGTGCATTAACCCCACTTCACATGCCAATCTGCCTGGCATTAGTATCTTCTCTTTCTGTCTTTTAAAGCATTTTTAACACATTGATTCTTTTGTGGAACAGGTCTGGCTGTTATAACTGTTATGTTAGTCACAACTTGCCTAATGTCTCTTGTAATTGTGTTATGCTGGCACAAGAGTGTCTTCTTTGCATTATGCTTCGTGTTCTTTTTTGGAACAATTGAAGCTCTCTACTTCTCAGCTTCCCTCGTCAAGTTCCTAGAAGGGGCCTGGGTCCCAATTGCACTTGCTTTCATCTTCCTGATAGTCATGTGTGTCTGGCACTATGGCACACTCAAGAAGTACGAGTTTGATCTTCAAAACAAAGTTTCCATCAACTGGCTACTGAGCTTGGGCCCCAGTCTAGGCATAGTCCGGGTACGTGGGATTGGGCTCATACACACTGAGCTTGTCTCTGGCATTCCAGCAATCTTCTCCCACTTTGTCACCAACCTTCCAGCCTTCCACCAGGTCCTAGTCTTCCTCTGCATCAAATCTGTCCCGGTTCCCCATGTTGGACCCGAGGAAAGGTTTCTAGTTGGTCGTATTGGCCCAAGAGAGTACAGGCTTTATAGATGCATAGTACGATATGGATACTGTGATGTTCACAAGGATGACATGGAGTTTGAGAAGGATCTTGTTTGCAGCATAGCAGAGTTCATACGCTCAGGGGGCAGTGATGATCTTGTAAAGGATGATGACAAAATGACAGTAGTTGGAACATGTTCTACCCACACAGAAGGGATTCAAATGAGCGAGGACGAAGAGGATAGTATAGATTCAGCTGGCCCCTCAGAGCTGAAGGAAATCAAGTCACCACCAGCAATCCAGCCGAGAAAAAGGGTGAGATTCATTATACCAGAGAGTCCAAAGATAGACTCTGGTGCCAAAGAAGAATTGAATGAACTAATGGAAGCTAGGGAAGCAGGGATAGCATACATACTAGGTCACTCGTATATGAGGGCCAAAAAAGGGTCTAGCCTGATAAAGAAGATTGTGATAAATTTTGGGTACGAGTTCTTGAGAAGAAACAGCAGGCCACCTGCCTATGAACTGAGTGCACCCCATGCATCTACTTTGGAGGTGGGGATGGTGTACCATGTTTGATTTTACTTCATTGCAAAAATTTCAGGTTTACTTGTAAATGTTGTGATGTGCAATAGATCAAAAGCTATCTAGCAGTTTTGGAGATTATCTTTGGTGATGTCAATTTTCCAATTCACCAATTCATGAATAAGTCAAAAAGACCAAGGCCTTGTTTGGTATAGACGAATAATATTGTTTAAATTATATATATAACAAATTATGAGGTTTTATTAACAGTTAAACTAGGTAGGGAGACCTTATTTAGCAACAAAAAGATAAACAGTAATATTATAATTATAATATTATAAAAAATAATAAGTTTATAATCGTTATTAAATAAGTATGATATAATATTAAAAATATATATAATGTTATAAATAATTTTTTTACAAAAATAATTAATTAAATAATAATATATCATATTATACATTTATAATGTCTATAGTATTATACCTATAGAACTAACAATTTATTTGTTTGAGTAGAAAAAATTTAATTTATTTTAAATAAAATCTAAAAAATAAACACCAAAAGAATTTCTTCATTAAGAAGTTAGTAAAAAAAAAGTTATACCTATAGAATTTTTGAAAAGGTGAATGGGATTGCGGTGGTTGGTTAGTAGACTCAGTACCCATATCACTTCCATATACTTGCAATGGTTAAAATGGGCCTGTTATCAACTAAAGCTTGATTCTCAAAAATACCAGCAACCAACAATCGGCACAGATGGCCAAGAAACTAACAAAAGGCCCAAAAAACTAAATTGATGATCCTCGAATATTGGGGTGGGCTAAGCTTAAAAGGAAGACAAACTCAGCAACAATATTCCATACTCCCCATCCACAATCAATTTTCTTTTCTTCTTTAAACAGTCATATCTCTCATTCGCCAGAGTCCCCTTTTAAACAGGGCATTGGAGGAGGGAAACAATCCCAATATCAATAATTTACTCTTTATTTTATGATTAATGTTATAAAATTTAGTATAATTTAACTTGCCTAATACTTTCTCCTTTCCTAAAACCTCATACAACTGTACCAATGATCTGTTAGTCTGAGTGAAAGAAACTCAATTCCTCTTAAACATGAGCTCGGTTCTCTTTTAACAAGATTTCAAGTTCGAATCTTGTAAATGGAGAAACAGGTGTTGAGAGAACTTTCCTTTTAATGGGATCTAATATGACTCGATTCCAAACTAATCAAAATCTAATATGATTACCGGATACCGATAGGTTAATACCTAAAAAAAATCTTCATACAACTGTTTTTTTTAGGAATTATTCTTGATCTTAGCCAAAAGGCTGAAAAAGGTTTTTCCTTTTCCTTAAGTACTATATGTATATTTGATCTTAGCCAAAATGCCGACATAGGTTTTTTTTTTTTCTTTCTTAAGTACCATATGTATATTTGATCTTAGCCGAAATGCCGACATAGGTTTTTTTTTTTTCTTTCTTAAGTACTATATGTATATTTGATCTTACCCAAAATGCCGACCTAGGTGTTTTTTTTCTTTCTTAAGTACTATGTACACTTGATCGTAGCCGAAAATTCGAGAAAGATATTTCGTTTTCTTTTAATAGAGAGTAGTACTTAATTGTTATCCAAATCTATCTATATCCAGCACCAACTGACCCAAAGCTATCTATCCCCACATCATTCATTTCATATTTCAAAACATATAAAATAAAACTAAAACTAAAAAAAGTTAGGTCAACGCGACAAAGATACAACCTTAGGATAATTCGATAGAAATCCAATCAATTATTATGCCCTTTCAAGTCTCCATCAAAATCATATTTGTGCTTTCTATATAATCACACGACTTTTCTTCCCCTTTCCCCTCTCCACACAGTTCATGAAAAAGTGGACTTTTAGTTCCCCAATTTTTCACATCTTAATTGGTATATCACGCCAAACAATGTAATAGTTGGGTAATACTAGATTTTTTCCTTAAAAAATAGAAATACTAAGTTTGAGTTACGTGAGTAATGAGAATGAAGAGAAAAAAAAGTTCGATAGTGATGCATTACTTAAATGTTTTTTTTTTTTATTCTATAATGGTGAAAACAAATTTAGTTTAGACTTTAAATAACATTTTTGTCATTTTAATCATGTTTTAAAATTTAATGTATTAATTTTTTATTTTATGGTTTAGATTCCATAATAATATTTTATTTTACCGTTTAGATTTTATAAAGTTGTAATATAAAAATTATTAAATAAAAAAATCATAATATTAAGTGATCCAACTCACTCTCCATTTAATTTTTTAATTAATTTATGTAGTGTAAATTGCATAACATATTTTTATGTAGGTATTAAATGCAAGAATATCAATCTCACTCCCATTTACTTTTTTTCTGTAAGTCCAAAACTCCTATTTAATTTAAAAGAAGATTTCTGTTAATAAAAAAAATCATATATCCTCATTAATGTATTTTTTGCCACTAAAAAAATTTTTTTTTATTATGTTTTTCCTATGAAAATTTGTTATTGGTGGGAAGATTTCAACCAGTAAAGACAATTCAAATTGAATAAAAGTCGTGCACTTAGGCAGGTGCGTGGGAGAAGGCAACACATGAAGGTGTCAACGAGAAGAGTATTAACTCGGACAAAGGTTGGCACCGGCAAATTCTAAACGTGCAAGTGTTTCCAAAGAATATATATATATATATATAGAGTTAGTGTTTATCCATTTTATTTTTAAAAAATTAAAGAAAATACAAAAAATACTTTAATTATATTTTAAAAATAAAATATTTTAATTTTTTTAATAAGTATTTATTAAAATAATGTAATTTTGAAATAATATTTCCTTAATTTTTAGAAAGTAAGATAGATAAGCACTATTCTCTATATATATAGTATATTCGCCTTACCTCTTAATTTTTAAGAAGAATATTATTATAAAATTATATCATTTTAATAAATTTGTATTGAAATAGATTAAA